CCCATTCCTTCTGATCTACACCAGCCTTCATTCACATCAGCCTCCTCACACTGGCCTACCAGATACAACAGGAGTATCACACCAAGAGCTATACCTGGATCTTGGGTAAGGCTCAGGCTGCCATCCTCATTCTAGCTTTGCAACAAAGGTGTTTTCCTGGCTCAGTTGAAAGCAACACCCTTGCATTTCTAGGTTACAGAATTCATAGAGCTAAGTCTCAGGTCTCAGGCCAGACCAACTCCTAGATTCCTCCATGGCCACTTTAAATTTAGTTCTGTAAAAGAAGTCCATAAGCTTGCAAGGATCCCTGAAGCAATCATCAATATTATTTGCCTATCCAAAGTCTATCTACCAGGAAGTATTTATAGGTTCAAAGGCTATTTTATTGACAAAGTTAATTTACCTTATTTTATGTCTTCACTAAGATTCCTGTGCAGAGAATTTAGACAATATTTAGCTGCAAAACTCCCTACTTGAAATATACAGTTCTATAACCTTCAGAAATCTATTTAAAATGTAAGACCCTGGAATTCACAAGTGTCAGGAAAACACTGCCAAACACCACTAAGCCAGTAAAGATTCTTCAGAGTTAAAAAACTTAGGCTATATTTCTGGAAATGGTCCTGTTGATCTGATGAGATAGGACACCTTTTAGAGCCATAAGAAAATATATATACTTTTTCTACCTGTTATGCAATGCCTTCCTCAAGCACTTTCAAACAAGAGGAGTTCACTGCAGACTTTTAGCCCAAAGCTTGTGATAAACCTGTTTTGCATAAATCAAGATGTTTGATGCCAATAAAACTAAGTGAATGCTTATGTACTGTAAGGCAGGTAATCACAGTTACAGCACTGTTAAATACCAGTTGAGATAATGTCTGCTAAAAACAAATACAGGTTTCAAGAGAAGGTAAGAGATACATTTCAGCTCTAAGAGAATTACTTTTATTTTTTACCTTGCAATAGATGGAACACACTTGATTTTAAGATCTCATTTTCACACTTACAGCACAAAATCCTAGCCAAGCATTTCACATGGATGTGACAGAATTAGATCTTGCAATCACACCAGATACAGCTCTCCTTATTGGCATTGAGGAAAACACTCTTTTCCTCCCCACACCTTGAGATACAGATAGATACAGCTACTAGATACAGCTCTCTTTATTGGCATCAAGGAAAACACTTTTTATTCCCCAAACCTTGGGATCCCCATTTGCAAAACAGAATTATGACATTTGTCTCCTTTATAAATTACTGAGAGCTGTTGACAGAAAAATAATATGTAAAAATACAGCAACATTTTTAGGAAGAAATTTAAGTAGCTTCTTTTTAAAGTGCAAGCTATGTACATCAGATTTGGCTTAAGTACTGATTTTAAAATAACTACCATTCTTTTCTTGGATTCCAGTCTTGACAAACCACAGTAAAATGAGACTTGGTCACCACTCAGCAGTGATATTTCAGCATGTACAAGAAACAAAACCCAAAAGGAGATTTGGCTTTCTTTTTAAAAATCAACTTGCCAAAGTTCCCCTGTAAAATTTAACACCACTCACATTAAAAGTTCATTTCCTCTTTTGCCTTCCAGACCCCAGCAGCTATGATGCCTCTAATATTAGATGATGAGGTTGGCTATCACCAGAGACAGATTTATTTCCTACTGAACACATCATCATTTTCAAACATGAATAACTGTGGCTTGAACACAAAGCCATATAGGACCAAAGAAGGAGCTTATTTCTGAAAACCTGTGTCGAAGAAAGTCCCTTCACAGCAGTAAAGCTTACACTAGGTAATAACTAGCTTCATAAGCAAATCTCTGAAGTAATGATCTCATACTGAAAGGCTCTGCTTCTCATTACCAGGTCTGGGGTTCATCCATCCATATTCATGAATTGTACCAAAAAATGAAAAAAAAAAAAATCCTGCAGAACACAGATTTTAAAAGGCTGCTGTAGGTACCAGGTTTTTCTGACAATAATAACAGCATTTACATAGAATCATTTGTTATGTTTCTCCTATACATGGCATGAAACACCTGCAGACTCCAGCAGCACATCTCTCAGGCTCTCCTAAGATTCTGTCTTCAGTACCAAAGTTGCAACACACCAGTTAGTCTTTCCACACACCCACGAAAAGAGCCATTATCCTGACTCACCAAAATGACATGACTCTTGAGAGGAGCAGAGGAGGGTACAGCTGAGAGTCACTGCTCTCAGAAACCTGACCTCGACATTGGAATAACAAGTCCTTCTCTCCAAAGAAAATTACCATTTAAAACAAGCTGCCACAGAAAAATCAAAGCAAAAAAGTTTGAATTTGAAAAGTTTTCAAATAGTCTGTGAACAGGACTTATATAAGTTGCAGACAGCCAGTCCTGAGCTTCAGACATACACATGCAGTGCTTTGTATCGCTGCTCTGAAGTTAAGGCTGCTGAGCCAAAGTAAATGTCTCCAATGATAACACTGGAACTTTGTAGTCTAATCTCCAGGTCCTCACTCTCTGGGAGAATTCAAACTGCACACTAACAAAATCATGTGCAAAATAGTTTAGAAATATCTTACTGTTTGATCCATAATGAAGTTTACTACTGATGTGACCTCTAATAAATCAGGCTGCACACAAGTTCCAGCTGGCCCTCGGAGACAGTCGTATCTGGTTGCTACACTAGCACAAATCCAATGACTCCAGACACACTTAAAACAGAGTGCAGAATCTGTTCCAGAAAGCTTAGGAATCTGTATCAAGACTGTGACATTTCCAAGATCATTGTTTTCCAGTTAGCACCAAGAGACTAGCAGCAAGCACTCAGAAGATAACAGACTGAGTGCTATGGGTAAACTCACTCAGAAGTTGTTTCACAACACACAACTTGTTCTTAAAACATGAACCTTGTTAAGGAAATCAGCATAAATAACCTCTGAAGTATTTTCCAGATGTTTGCATTAATAAACAGAAAATCCCTTATAGTATATTAAGGGGAAAAAATGGTATGATTAAATAATTTCCTTTGTTAAGAATTAGAGGAGAAAACATCCAAGAATTGTTTAAGTTTAAAATAGGTACAAAGGCCAATTTTATCGCTTTAAGGAGCCAGAGATTGATGATCCCTATGCACGTGAATTTACATACTAATAAATGCTCACCAAAAAAGTAAATTCAGGGGAAAAAAAAAATCCAAAGAACCAGCAGAATGTACAGATATAGTCACAAAATACCTTCAGCATTTTGATGTCCTTTCAGAGAAAAATGAAAGGGAGACCTATAAAGAAATGAGACTGGTATAAATATTTTCCACATAAAATTTCATCTTCACACTTTGAAGATTTTTCTTCCGAGTAGATCTGTTTATTGCCTCTTTTTATTTTTTAAGGTTAAAATGGCTGAATAATCTCAAAACAGAGGAAAATATTACATTGTCCTGATAAGAAACTTCCTTGAGATGAAATATTAATAACTGACACTCACTGACATAGGGTGCTGCCTAGGGCCAGACAGTATATGACAACTGCACGAACAACTGCAGCAGTACCCAGGGGCTGCCAAATCCCCAAGCCCTGCGTGAGTTGTTTCACCTTTTCCTTCTCTCATGAGTGACCCTTTTGCAAAAATATGGAGAACACGAGTTAACCCTAAATTTCTCTATCCCGTGCCTGAGTGTTATGGATCTTACCAGAGGGCTGCCTCCTTTCTTCACCTAGCTGGCACTTTACTCTGCAAGGATTCCCATTAAAACCTCAGGAGGCTTTTCAGCAATTAACACAGTGGGAATGGTAGTAATCAGCCTGCAATGGGGTCGTGCAACAGCCTATTTGCCCACAGGAATGCAATGCAATTGCAATCATTAGTAGAAAGCTTTGAAAAAGCTTGAAAGCTTTCCAAGTCACTCCTAATGCTGTGATTGTGTGCAGCTCCTGGCTAGGAATCCCTACAAAGCTGCATAGCACCTGAGCTAGCCTGTTAAAGCATCAGGAGGAGCAAACATGAAACACATTAATCTCCAATGCACTAGCTGCAAACAATTACCAAGAGGCTCTCATTGCCTTTAAGAGACCTCATGCAAGCCCAAGTTTCCCTATGTCTGTTTTCATCTATATCAGCATTAAAGAAGTTAGCCTCTGGCATGTATTTTATCCTCAGTCTTTGTTTGCAAACATCAGATTTTGAACAAGACCTCATCATGAGTTGGGATTCATTTTGCTTTTTTCCTTAGCACCTTGTTAAACAAGCCCTGAGGAAATACTTAGAAAGGGGTGGGGGGAGTGGGGGGTGGATTAGCACATGTAACTATACTGAAAATATACAGCTGAAAGGTTTCAGTAGGGGAATAACAAGAAAATAGTTGCCTTGTACCTACCATTTCAAAGTTTCAGAAAATAGGAAAGGTATTTTTCGACAGATTTGAGAGGGAATATAAATCATAATTGTTGCAAAGGGAGGAGAAAAAGATTGTATTTCCCAAAGTCAGGCTTATTGATTAGACTTCTAAGTACATTATAGAGGTAAAAGCTGTATCCAACAGCTTCTGCACATTTGCTGACTCTGCAGGTCATTTCAGACAGCACTGCTCATATCTTTACCAGAGAAGGGCCCATTTTCAAGGTCACTGTAACTACTTTTGCTGAACTTTAATACTGCATCTGCACGTGCTAAATCCTGGATATTACACTATTGACTTAAAGAAAAATTACTTTTTCAGCTTGATTACATCACATTCACTGAAATTTATGTGCTCTGCTTTGGTGCCCTTATTGGAGCTACTCAGCAAGGTGAAAGTTCTGGATGAGTTTTGAAAGCACCTGCTTGTACAATCAAGCACATCTTCCCTCGTGTATTCCAGCTGCTTTTCTGTGCCAGGTAAGGAATTATCAAAGCAAAGCTGTTTCACAAGGTCTCTCCCAAGCTTGACTCCCCACTGTCCCCAAGGACCCATAGAGGGACAGGTTTTTGCCAGGCAGTGCTACACTTGAAACAGAAACAAGGCTATTACTATTACCTGAGGAACTCAAGGGGCTGGCTCTACCACATTCTGCCTTTGAAGAGAACTGGAGCAAATCCACAGGGAACTATAGCTATTCTCTGCATTTCCCCACGTCTGTAACAGTCACAGGAAAAAATGAGCGCTCTAACCAGAATCTTTCCACGGTACAAACCTCCCTGCCACTAAATACAATTTAAATCCAAGCACCTGAGGCTGTCTCTAGGCTGTGATTGCCCTGAGCAGCCTCAGCTGGGGCCACCACCTGCACATGCCCTGCCCACTACCCAGGGCTCCATTTAGACTCAAACACAGCAGCCTGGGCTGGCCTGGGTAATGTTATAGGTATGTTTGTCTCCTGCCTGGAACATAATCTCCCCATCCAGAGCTGTTGATGATGCCAGTCACAGCAACCAGTTCCATCTTGCATAAGTGTAGCCCCCTGGCTAATTTAGAGGGGGGGAAAGGAAAAAAAAAAAAGGCTTGTTTCCTAACCATTAAAACTCAATCTCTTTAATCAGCTGAAGTGAAGTGTCACTATCAATGTCACTGCTTTGTGTTACTGATTTATCAATGCTTGAAGACTGATCAGGTAATTTTTTTCTTTTTGGTAGCCACACAGAGTGACTTTTTGAGACCTTTTACTTTAATAATTCTACCTAGACCTTCATAACAGGGGCTATTATGGACTTCAGAAATAGCAACATATGTTCCTCCCTGGAGGAGGTGAGGAAAAATTAAAAAGCTTGCTATGAGGAGAACTTTCAACAAAATTACTCACAGGCTTTTCCTCCATTCTCGTGAGCTGGTACAAGCTCCTGTGGGCAGGTACAGTCTGGATTTTTCTTCTTAGCTCCACAGTGTAAATGATGGGGCAGAAATGGGCTGTATGTTGACTTGGCAACACTAAGTTTGGTCCAGGCATGTGATCTGCACAACACTAAACACCCCTCAACTCTTTCCCTGTTCCCTAACTCAAGATTGCATTTTCACCTGTCCTTTACAGACATTTCCTAGTGCCTAAGATATTTTCTATCACTGGCTGATACAGAACACACTGTCAAATGGCAGAAATTTGGCTATTTTGCCTGAAGTCAAGTTGGTTACAAAGATTGCTCTGCTTCAGAAAATTCTTGACACACCAATTTACTATCTCATTATGTTCCTATTCTTTAGAGATAACACAGTCACATTAAATGCTCATTAACGTTGAGATTAAGAAAAAAAAAATTAACCCCTCATGTTACATTTTTCTCTCTGTTTCTCAAATAGCTAATGTCTTAGACTCTTTGATTTTTATCTCATGTACATGCCAACTAATCATCTCTGCTCGAGTGGTAAGGAGTACTGAACAATGTATTTGATAAAGCGTATTAAACAGATGGACTTCCCTTGGGAGATAATACACAGAAATACTTACTTTATAAAATGTACCTTTTTTAATAAGAAGAAAAGCATGGAAGTGGAGCAGGGGAAAAAAATAGCAGCATTAGGAAAAGAATTAGTGATCAGCCATGTGCCTAATTTTCCAACAGAACTGAGGCTAATAGTGGCACAGGAGCCACAAACTTCATTTTGTGGCTTTTGTGTGGAGACTGGTCACAGGTACATGAGCAATTTCTGTTACCAAGAGATGCACATAGCCCTGGGATGAAACTACAGCAGGCTGATTTGAGTTTGGGAGGGAGGTATATTTGAGAAAAACTCTGCATATATATGCTTATATAGCTTCTCTTCTTCATGCCAAGTAACTTTGTCAACTACATTTCCAATGTACTAGTCAATCTTTCATAGTAAATACTAAGCACTCTTTCAAAAGTTTATTTGCTGGTGGTGCTGATTCATGTAAACCAGGTTGTGAGCCTTAAAATCCCTAATTCAGCAGGGCACAAACACATGTTTAACTTTATGTACAGGAAGTGATAATCAGCATTACCTTCAGGATATTTTGTAAACAGTGTGTGAAGGAGGTGTGGTAAAGAAAAGCCATTTGCACGGTTCCTAGTTGCTTCAACCTGCACTGGGCTAACAACTCAAAAAATTCTTATCTAGAGAAGCATAACCATCAGGTTTTAAAAAGAACATCAGGAACTCTAGTATGAACTCTAATAGACTTGAAATAGTACATTGCCTTCCCAGAATTTATTTTTTGCCTACCAAATGATTGCCTACATAATGAATTACACACACAATGAGAAATAGAACAGTGTAAACATAACCATCTATCCAAAGAGCACTCAAACACATGAAAAACTTCAGTATGAAGTATTGAGCAGTTTAATTTTCCAAAGTCTTCGTTTTGGAGGAAAAAAATCCCCCATCACCTAATCAGACAGCAAGCTCACTGCTATGGAAGGATGAAGTCCTGGAGTTAAACTCTCACAGTATTTGGTCATAAAAGCCTGGGGATGAGGAAGAGAGGAGAGGAAATGACAGGAAAAAGTCTCCTCTGCGCTACATAGAAGAAGCATCTGCCAAAATAATAGAAGTTTGTGTTTGGAACAACAATTCTGCCCAAGATTAGCACAGAAGAGCAAGTAGTTAATCAAGCTGCCCTTAACAATTTGGTATTTCACAGCAGCAGAAGTTACAACCAGAGTAACAGGCACTAAAGGGCCAAATTCTTCTGGAACCACATATCAGGGTCCTTCCAGAATAACTCAAGATGATCTCCAGCCAGTGCAATGTAGCAGGAAGGGAAATGTGGCCCCTGTCACCAAGAACATACAGATACTTTTATCTGAGCTGCAGTCTGGCTCGTGTTATGGAGGAAGGGTTCATGGACAGGTCTCAGAGCATATACTCTGAGCCTTTTCAGGCATAGTATATTTTATAGTAGGCCACAGACACAAATAAGCCAAACAGGGAGATTAGAAAGCCAGTTATCTGTTTGGCACAGATTTTCAGTGGTGTGAGACCCTGAGGACAAGCAAGGATTTGCCACAATAGGCTGCTGACAGCTTTTCTTCTGCAGTATATTGTCCTGGCTCAATAGCACAAGGTCAGACTGAATGGCGTTTTGCCGCCTTTCTGCTTCTCCTGGGGAGCAATTGCTTAGAAAAATATCCCTTTACTTGACAGGTTTGTAACACAAACAAAAAAATCCATCCTCGTTGTGGTTATTGAACTGACTTCTTAGGAATCAAACAGTGTAAGACTAATAGTGTCATAGAGCCACCAACCACACCAATGTAAACTTAAATGCACATGAGTGATAGCTGAGTGGGGATAGCCTGGTACAATAAACAAATGAAACTTACTTCTATTTTATGCTTTCATCTTATAGAGACACTTCATTTTACAATTAGCAATTAATTCCTACTCCATGCAGAAAGTAAGCCAGGATAACTAACTGTAAGAATTCCATTTACAGCACCCCTGTATGCAAAACCTCAAGTCATTCTGCAGAACAACATCTACAGCGAATGTGATGGAAAGGGAGGCAGTTGCCTAGAGATTTTAAAACTGTTGACAAATTACAGCTATCTTTGTACATTCTCAAGATGAGCACTTTAAGGTTGACACTTTTGTGTATACAATAAAAGGGGATAATGTGGGGGAGGTACTGACACACCAAGGCTGAGAAAACATCACTACTTTAAAATAGTCCCTAGGGACATAGCAATCCCCTTTTAGGATACATCTGGAAACAAAAGAGATAGATAGAGAAATTCCACAGAGGCCTTCCATAATGCTCTGGTCTCTTGTACTCAAGAGGAAGCAGCAACCCCAAGGCTGTCTGCTCCTTACAAGATGTCTTCTGAGCAAGCAGCCGTGCCCTCAGCGTGGCTGTCAGTATATCTAGGCATCACAGCTTTACAAAATATCATAAATCAACTGTTCAAATACAGTGAATTTTCTGAGATCTCCAGAACAAACCCTGTGCTATAATCCTACAATATAATAATAGTAATATATAAATTACCCTTTTAAATTATATGTACTTTATTTGTACGCCACCAAGCAAAACATCAATTTGGCCATTATTATAAGTATCCTATTTATATTTAAGCATTATTATTAGCAGACTGACAGAGAAGGCTAGACAGTGTATCTAAAGCAGCAGCCCACTTTTCCTGAAGGTCCAGCTCGCCATGCACTGGTTTGCCTCCCCAGAAAAAGCCTTTACAGTACATTATGATTTATGTGGTGTTAGGAGGAAGGCTGCTCTCACTGAATCTGCAGAGCTTGAGCAGCACAGCTGATCTCCTGAAGGACACCGGAGACTTGTCTTCAGTTTTAAATGCCATTAGATTTCTAATAAAATAGATATTGTTAAAGGGACTTCTGCCACATCATCTGTCTCCTTAGGCAGGGTCCACTTAGTCTACTATATCCTACTATATTTTCCAGGATACAAAATGAAGTTAATTAAAGAAAGATGGATGTTAGCCTCTTTACATGCATTTAAAATTGTTTCTGTGACAGAGCTTCTGCTATTGACATCCAATGTCAATAACAGAATTAGGACAGGAATGTAAAAACATCATCTTTGCAAATACACGTGAGCTTTGCTTCTCATTTTTTTATATTAATGACAAACATGCTACAGATGCTGTTTCAGAGATAAACACGCAGACACCATTGTTATTTCCCCATGAAAGCAAGGGTACAGGCAATTTATGACTATTCATGAATTTTTATTAGATGAAGAGGGCTGCCTATATGAAATTGGCTGATCTACATTTTTGTTTTTAACGTCACCATAATGCTACTATTCCTAAATGTTTTACAAGCTGTTTACAGAAAGCAAAGTTCAAGCCCATAATATAATCTAGCACTTAGCTTGGTCAAATTTAGAGGAAACCAATCTATGCAATCTAGTTATAGTAAACTGAAAACAAAAACTGAGTGCAAAGTGGTCAATATGAATCTACATGAAAGATTTTAATAGATGTACTCATATTTACTTGATTCAAATTATTCAACCAAGTATTATCAATTTACTTACATTAAATATATTTAGAGGTTTAGACTGGGTGTATATTGATATCTGGTCTTCACAAAAAACAGAAAATAGAGGAAAATAAGGGCATTATGCTGTGAGAGTATATGGCTGTATTTCATCTCTTCCTGGTATGAGAAGAACAAAGGAATCTAGGAAGCTGGCCAAAATACACGTCCATCACAAATACTCTGCTAACACGCT